CACAGAGCACAGGCAATCTTTCTCTCTTTGTGGAAGCTTTGCAACGACAAAAAAAGAAAGAAAGAAAGAAAAAAAAAAACAAACTCAAACAGTCACCAAATTCACTGAGAGACGCACTTACTACATATAAGCAGCCCCAGAATACCTTGTACGTGTGCTATGCGTGTGAAAACTGCATGAACCAAGAACTACCAAGACAGGAATCAATCAAACGTTACAAAGATGATATACGTGCGACACATGGTGACAAACAAAAAAAAAAAAAAGTGTCTCGACATTGTTCCAACAATCATCACCAACAAAACCAACAACGACACGCTGTTGCATCCTGTTGTTTGTTGTCTTCCAAAAGAAGAAACGAAGCGCATAGTGACTGTACTCGTAACATATACTTGTGTGTGTACGCTGCTCTACGGGACCGTCTACGATTCCTGTTGGCTGATATCTGCTCCTTTCTTTCTTTCTATCTTTCTCTCTATCTCTTTTTTTTTCTTTTTTTTTTCATTACTATATATATATCTCTCTCTTATTTCTGTTCTTTAATCTGTTGCAGTGTGTGCGTGTGTGTTGCAGTCTTGCTGTGATATTATAACCATACCAACGTTAACATCTATGTGGTGAATGATACGTGGCCATAATGCATCGTCTCTCTCTCTCTCTCTCTCTCTCTCTCTCTCTTGATGTGTGCGCGTGTGCTGTTGCGTATGTTGTGCACTGTCTGTCTGTCTGTTTATATCTGTCCTTCTTGTTTGCTGTGTCTGCCGTATACACAACAGTCGTCGAAGCTCATACTGACAACGAAAACTGAGTTTTGCGTTGAGAAAACTGACAGCTAACTCATACTCGTACCACATCACCGCCTTTCATCACACAAACACAAACAGAGAAACATCGTCACTTCGTAGGAAGTTTCGCATCTCTTGAGGCCGACGTGCATTCGTTGGACTTTCTTTGGTTGCCTTTGAACCAAAGGAAGCTAAAATGGAAAAAGAAAGATTGATACTCGATGGTCTTGGATTCCAGGAAATTTCTTAGAACCGTGAAGAGTAATCTCTTCGAGAAATTGCTTTGGGTAATCTGCTTCATTGAAGCGAATTCTTTTGCTCGTGACTCAGTAGGCCAATTACCCAGTCCTGGACCATTGAACGCACACAGTTCAGTTCTTGTTTCGCGCGAGCTTTCAAAACCAGCTTTGTTAATTCAGCGATTCATAGCGGAAAAAAGGTTCATACTCTCTTGAGGAACGTTTAGGACGAACAAGTACAAGTAATTTAGTTAACCAATGAAACGTTCCAACTTGATCTCTGTCATTTTTGTCATTCGCACTACTTGCACGAAGCCTCGAGTCTTCCAGAACTGTTCACACTCAAAAAAAAAAAAAAAAACTCTGTCACACTCTTCTTCGCGGACACACCTGAGGAAAGAGACTCGCTAAGAGGGCTCCTTCGGTAACATGGGAAACATCTTGACTAACGAAGAGTCCAGCTAGAGCAACAGATACAAAAAAAAAAAACAGAACAGAACAGAACTAAAACATGAAAGGTAACAACGAGACACGTACCAGCCCAATGTGAGCAGAGATTCAAAAAATACTGACGCAAACGCCATTAAAAAAAAAAA